CATTTTACAGTTTTCTGGAGAAAATGCCAGTGTGTCTGCTCTTGCTTGTAAATAGGATATTTGTGTCATATTAGGTATATGTATGACTTTGTTAAGTCTTTTATCTACACTACTCCGCTAAGAATAATTCTTTTGAGAACACTACTGCTCAATTGGGTATCAAAAGTGAATGTTTTTATATTTCTAAAATTCCATACTTTTAAAAAAATTGGATTCACATTTCTGGGTATCCTAAAATATGGCTCCCTAAGATCAAAGTGGTCTTTGAAAGCTCAAGGCCTCTAAATACCATTGCATTATACATTTGGAAGAAATAAAATTGTCTTTCAACACTTTTCTCAGGTGCTTTCATATCTGTGAATCCTTTTTTGAATTCCTCAATGTCCTGTATATAATCTCATCCTTTGCTGTACCAGCACAATCACTAGGAATGTATGAATTGTGAATTGCACTACTTATAGAAAATTATTGAAATTATGTCACTTGAGAAAAATATTTTCTAATACAATGAAACATGCTTAATTGAATTAAAATATAAGCTTTAGAATATTCTAGTTAATCATGAAGTTACCTCATTTTATAGTGTCCTGGTTTTCTTATTTTCAAAATGCAGATACTAATAACGTCCTTCATAATTCTATTTTGAAGGTTATACAAGTTTGTCTATGTAAAGCAATTAAAACAGTGCCCAAAGGAAGCATTTAATAAATTTTACCTATTATAATTGCAACCTGGGGACCTTCATACTTCCATTTAGCCCACAATACTTAATGCTGTCTCAAGTTATAATGCATTCTGCATTAAAAATATGGTAGAAAAGTGGTGCATCTGAAAGCAGTGTCTACACGTGATTCAGTTTTGTCTATTTCTTTTGGAAAATAAAAATTGAAGAAATATTGTCAGCTGTAGTCTATCCCAATTGTTAAAATGACAAGTCAAAATATTCTGTAAGATTAAGTGGGCAGTATTTTCTTGGAGCACATGCCAAGACCATGTCAGAACAGTTTTATCAGCACAGAGTTACTTCTCCCTGTGCAAGCCCTTTTAATTATCTTTCCATCTGCAGATATTCAAAGCTTTTGTTCTTATTATTCTCCTTTCTTTTTGCCTGTGCTTTAACTGATAAATTCATAAAATATATTTTGCAGATGAAACTGATCTCTATATTACATTACAGACATTATATAAGCTTATATTTATCCTGGGTATATTACTAAATGAAAAAGTTATTTTTGTGAAAAGGACTGCCATTTTCATAGAATATTACTCCACCATATTTGAACAGAAATAAATTAATATTAACCATAAGCAGTGCCATAATTTGATTTCCCACGAACAGGTGCCAACCTCAGTATCTTCCAACATTAATTCTAAAATTGTCAGTACCAATGTTTATGGCATATAAACTGTGCCAGCATCTCACTTGACTAGATTGTGTGAGGTCATCTTGGTATAAAGCTTTATTAAATTCAATATCTCTCAAAAAACCTTTTCAATAGAAGTAATCTGATAATTATGTTTTTTCTTTTATGTTAATTCTAAAAAGAAACAGAATCTCAAATCTGAGTCTTGTTGACAGCAGTCAGCAGACCACTGTGCTCAGTAGTCTTCAATTTTCCACTTTCCTTGTTCCTGAATCATTTATTGTTAATTAGATAGCTAATTAATCTATCTAAAAGCAGACTCAAAGTCATTTCTAGAAATAAAGGAATTTAAATATACTTATGTCTGTGTACACATATGCATACAATGCCATGAATTAATCTCTGTGCTGTCATAATTCTATTCCCAAACCCAGCATCATCCACATAGAGTTAATCAAACTTTAATTAGTTTTCTTGTGAAAAAAAATTCTTGGCAACTGATCTTTCATTAATTTAGAAACACATTTTGGTATGATAGCCATGTATTCTTAGCACCTATAACATTGAGAATTCACATGTCTAGAAAATGGTGATATTTAGACACAAAAATTTAAATATTAGACATACTCCTTTTTATTCCAATTCACAAGTAATTAATCCTCTAGTCAACTAAATGAATTCTATACTGTCATTTAAATTCTAAAGATGAAATTCTAAAATCTCAAGCAATAGTTTTGAAACTAAATTCCTAGATCCAATTTATTTGCATATATTGGGCAAGGAAATGATACTCTACCAAGGAAAACACACACCCACACACACAAAATCACTTTAAAATTTTCTACAAATTTATACTTTTATCACCTTCAGTTCTGGTAACTAATGTCCATGTATCTGTCTCAGTCAAAAATAAAGAATAAGGTAGTCTCTTTAGTCTTTAGATATGAAATATCAGGTGATGTCAGAAAGTGTAAGCAGAGGTAAAGTAATCGATGTGGAGCAGATTTTGAAATCCATACTCTTCTTTCATTACCATGTATTTCTAATTCTAATAAGTAAGTAAGTAAATAAATAAATAAATAAGAGTAATGTAAAAGAGCTACACGAAATAATCATAACCTAAAGTATTTATATTAACATTTCGGCTTATATGATAAGATTGAGGGATCATATAAATGTTCACTTTGTGTACTACACTCAGAGACATCTGTCTTCTAGAGCTACATTCTCAAAATTATCTGAGAGTTTTCTTATTGATAGTGCAGTATTGTAAGCACTGAGGGTAACCTGTTCTGAATTAAACTTTTTGGGCTTCAATGTCTTTCTGTCCATTTTGTGTGAGTTCTATGTTCCACACAGTTTATGGGTTTTCAGAATGCTTAGAAAAATATTGATCAAAGTTTATTAAAATACAAAAGTCTCCATTTCCGCCCCTCCTCCCAACCCCCTCCCACTCCTCCCACTCCCTCCCCTCGTCCCTCTCCATCCCCAAGAGCAGTCAGGATCTCCCACCCTGTGGGTAGTTCAAGCTCCTCCCCCCTCCCTCCAGGTCCAGGAAGGTGAGCATCCAAACAGACTGGATCCCAGAAATTCAGTATATGCAGAGGAAACAAGTCCCAGTGTCATTGTCAATGGATTTTCAGAAAGACTCCGGGCCAGCCACATTCAGAGAATCTGGCCTCATTCAGAGAATCTGGCTGGATCAGTGCTCACTCAGTCCCAGTCAACTGGCCTTGGTGAACTCTCATTAGCGGTTACAGTGTCTTTGGAACATAAAGAATATATTTAAAGAATATATTTAATTATTTTGTAAAGTTTTATGTTTATATACATTTGCATTACCTCAATTAGCAAAAGACTATACCTATCTAAAACATAACTCAGGCACAGAGTGCTGAGAATTTTAATGTTTTGAATTTAGATACTGTATCATAAAATATTTCTCTTTTAAAGTTTATAATTTACATAATGTATTATAAATTCATGCATTTTTTTTACCCTACTTGATGCAGGCTTAATGCCTTAGCTTGCAGCTTCCATGGACTATACAGAGAGAATCATTATTATATTATCTTTGTAATATATTCCATGATAAGTAATTATGGTGTCATTTTTATGTCTAATTTCTTAAAATTATCTGATGGAACATGTAATTATGTATATTCATATTAATAATTTGGTATTAGTTAATAAAATTCTCATTCATTATTTAAAAAAAAGAAAAATATTGATCAAATACCATGATTTCTGCACTTATTCCAAGTTATTTTATTGCAATTGTTGCAATTTTCATTTGTAGTTTTACTTTAAGTTCATGTCATTTAATCAATAGGTTGCAGTAACATATTTATGTATTTATACATGTGTGTGGGGAGGTAATAATAAGCAAAGGGCAATATGGAGAGTTGGAGATTAATGTAATAATATTTTAAAAACAGTTTCTTTTAAAAAATGAAGAAGTCAGATGATTAAGTTAAAGTAATTACTTTCTTATGGGAAAGCTTTTTTGTTTGTTTTTTTCAAAAAGCATACAGTCTATATATTCCTAAATTTGTAAATTGTAACAAACAAAAAATAAGCAAAAATATTCATGCAGTTACTAGACATTTTATGTAAAAGTATCTTGCATAAGTTCTCAAAACTCCTAAATGATTACATCTTCAAAGATTTTGACTGGACTGAAAGCCAAAATGGTAAAAATAAGTGTAGTGTACTGTGCTAGCCAGATATTAGAGGGGCAACCATGGTCTGATAAAGGAAACATGGTAGTCAGAAGAATGGATCTAGCCTGGGTGACGACTCAATGTTCCTGTTTTTCTGGTCAATCGTTTGAATAAAATAATAACAAGTACCCTTCAGAAAAGAGAGAACATCAGTGGACTAGAAAGGGCCCTCACTATAAGACATCCTGAACAGATACGGAGTTTAATTCCTGTTCCCACGCATAAGACCCATGAGCCAATTTGAGGGCAAATGAGTTTTGCTGGGTTTCCCCACTTTTCTCAGAAGGCTAGATTAATTTTCCATTTTCAGTTTTCAGCCTCTTCTTGCCAGTGCTTTCAGGAACATAAGGAATGTTGCCATGTGGCAGACCTCTATGTCAGTAGCTCAAAAGACTTTATACTTTTTATTTATTTTGCTGTGTCTTAGAACTGTTGCTGAAACCATACCATGATAAAACAAATGTATTAGAAATTAACTCTATGTAGTATGTTACAGTTTAAAGGGAAAAGAGTAAGGACATAACACAATTAGGAAGGACTAACACTTTCAACTTATAGAATTTATGCACGACCATTTGTCCTTGAGTCTGTAAATGGATGACAATTACAGACTGTCAATCAACACTAATGCACTATTCCTATTCTTTCAATGTAATATAAGCCTTTCAAATTCTCATCATAAAAACTGGGAACAGAATATAAGATATATTAACAAATTCACGAGGGAATTGGAAAATAGAAGCAAAGGGAGAGAAGGGGATATTGTAAGGCTTACTCAGGCTAGAGAAGAAAAAAGAACCAAGCCGGTTGTATTTCAATTACTGTTGTCTGGTCACTGCAAAGCATCCATACACAAGACAAAATTCATACTCCCCTTCCTATCAAGTGGTTGCCAAAAGAAACCCAGCATTACCTTTCCCACATATTGAGGTTCGGAGCCCATGTATTCTTCCAGCACAAAAAATTGATTCCATACCCAGCCACGTTTAACCCGTTGGAAATGGGGTTGTCTGCCCGGCAGGTGGATAACATTTTCTTTTGGTTGTGTGGCTAAAGTCTGTTGTGGCTGTGGCTGAAGTGGTGTTAGGAGACCTCCATCAAATAGGATCCAGAGAAGCAGGCATAAAGAGTTCCTTGTAAGCATTGGCAAAGACTTTCTCCCACGGTAGAGTAATAAATACTCCAGTACTTAATGTGGAGTCGTAGGATCCAGGGTTGAGGTGTCTGTGGCTGTGACCACTGCGCTTTCCGTTTTAGTGGAGAGACAGTAATTCACACATTGATGCTCCGGAGCTTTCTGCTTTATTACAGTCCATCTAAAGAGACCTACAAAATAGATCAACAAACATCCATCAAGTTTATGAAACTCCATGGTGACTTTCATAGAAACTATCATTGCAACATCTACTATTATTTTAAAAAACGTGATTGTTTGATGAATGGCTGTCTCATTTCAGCCATTTAGTTTAGATCAATTGCCTTAAGTTTTACACGTACATAAAATTATCAATTACAATGAAGCCAAGTGTGTATTATCAACAAAAGTAACACATTTATATGCAATAGTTACCTATAGAGGAAATAGAGTAATAATGTAAGAGTGAATTATTGAATTAGAATTGAATTTGTAGTTTACCCTAAATGGCTATCATTATTTCCTTACAGTTATCCTGTGCATTTTATGCATCCCAACTCCTTATTCTAGTATTCAACAGGCAATCGCACATCCTCTCCCATCCTGGGTAATGCAAATGAAAGGGGTCTCTAATTGTTCACAAAGGTGTTCTGGTCGGAGCTAAATAAACCAAAGTTGAGAACAAACACTTTAGACAAGAAAAAGAAAATAAATAATTTTAAACAATCCTCCTGAAGTTAGAAAATCGAAACAATCATACCATTGGACTTGAGGTTGAGCAAATAGAAAAGAAAGCTCTCATTATAATAGAAATGAATGACAGGACACCCATTACAAGATTTCTACATTTTCTATTTAAAAAGAGCAAAGAGTTCTCTATACTTTGGACAGCAAAACTGATGTGTGGGAATTTATTTTATAAACAGTGTGCATCGCAGAGGAAAAAAGTAAATGGCATTCTATTGAATAAAAACTATGTTATGTGTTTAAGTGAAATGATAATAAGCATTTCAGCATATTGAGGGCATTCAGTGAGTAAAATGTCCACTGCTCAGGAATGAGGACCTGTGGTCTATATCACCAAAACCCTCAGAGCAGCGATTGTGGCTTCTTTGTCCTCAGTATAAAGGTAAAGGAGGATTGGAAGGCAGGGAGCACATTCCAGGTGCTCCTGAACAGAAAAAGGTAAACGAAATTGGAAGTTCTAGACTTTGTGGACACATACACACACACACACTCACACACACACACACACACACACACACACACACACACGTATACACAATATCAAAATAAGGAAAAGGAAATATAATATGCATTTTAGTGCAATAATCTCTGCCTAAGTACAATAGATCAGACCTGAGTAAAGGAGGATACTATCCTTTGCCTTGATTAAGGCAGAAAACGGAGACAAATAAACAGAGGATTAAATAAAGCAGACCAAATGATATCAACGTGAAAACACATGTAACACATTCTGACGACAAGAAGTAAAAGGCCAGCAGCAGTCCTGTGTTTAGTCTCCCTGTGTAGAGGGAGAAAGGTGATTTCTCAGTCAGTCATTTTATTTCAACCTCAAATTGAATCCAAATTTAATTATGGATTATTTCACATTGTCAAAATTATTATTATTCAGTCATGCTCTAAACACTTGATGTGGGAACACATTACAATGAGTGAGGTAAGATATGAGGTGGGAAGTGTACAAGAGATCTCCTCTGAGTAGTGTCTATATGGACAGTCACTTCTGTAAGCAGAAATTGAAGCAGGCTTCAAGATTTTCTGTAGTTTTTTCTTTTTTACTTTTATGATTGTGACTCTTTGGTCTTATAAGTTAAAAAATATAATTTTGTTACCTCTTTCAAATCTGAACAAGATGTTTGTGCAATAGCACGTTATGCTTGTATTATCAAATACAATCTGGCAACCATTGGGGTAATTGGGCTTTGTTTGAAATTTAGGAAGGAGGAAGTAGTTATTGAAATGTGAACCGAACCTGATTTAGCTTACATAGTCTAAATTTTTTGATACAAACGATATGATATCTAAAGACACTACAAATCTCTAAGTTTATTACATGGTAACACAATGTGATACATATATATATATATATATACATATATATATATATGTGTATTTATATTACTCATGTGCATACATATAAACCTTTATACATAAACACACAAACACTCACACACACACACACACACATACATATATATATATATATTGTTTACTTTTGCTATTTTGCTAAGCTTGATTACCAGAAAATAAAAATTAGGTACACAGCAAATATTTGTGATGGATGTCATCTTTAAAAAAATAAGTTAATCCGAAACTGTGACTTTTATATGCTTTTATTCTTGACAACCAAAGTCAAATATCTAGCCTAAACTACATCGTATCTATGATTGTATCCAGATCAAAATCTCAGAGAACATTTGCTTCTTGTTTTCATTTTCTTGCAAAGACCAAAAGACATATTTCTCTAACAGGTTTTCAAATTAAATTTACTAAGGTTAAACCATTTTATAAACCACTATGTTTGCAATTTTTTCCCATTAAAGCAGAAAAGGAATGCTAAACATTGTCATAAGATTCACATAAACTAGAGCCCAAAAAAGACCAGTGTGGAGCACTAAGTAACTAAAGCCGAACTCTCTCTTGTTCCTTTAAGTCCTTACTAGATACACATGCCATTGTGATTTACTACATTCTTTCCATTTTTTCTGAAGCTGTACCTTTCTCTTTCCTTCATTATGATTTTCTCTAGCTATACCCATCAGATTACCGTATCTTCTCATCTTATGGTAGAGCGCTATCAAATCTCACCTCCAAATGATGGAATTTGAATTAGGTACATTGGGAAGGAGAGTAAGTTTTCTTCGAAAGGCAGCCACTGAGAGGCAACTCATGTTCTAGTTAATAGTTCTTAGACCCATGTTCATATAAATTTTGTCAGGGGACTTGGTGTAGAGGGAGAGGGAGAGAACACATAAAGTCTAGTGGGGTTAGTATAGGAGTGATTAGGGGAGGAATTAAAGGACAGAATGAGGGATGGATTTGATCAAAACACATCACGTGCATGATGAAATTCTCAAACAATAAAAGTAGATTTTTATATTTGTCACAATACTCAGTAGTTGATTTAAATTTCTAGATCATTGTTAGTCATAATGCATGGGCTGAGAGGCCTGTATTTAATGCTACATCTTGTAATGGATCTACTACTTGACTCTAAGGTTTTTTTTTTTTTGAATGCAAAGCTCTTACCTCATATCACATTATAGTTGACAATTATGAATTAACAGCCAATATAGACATCCATGACTCTGAATCAAACACTTTAGTTTTAATCCTATTAATACCTATTAACATTCAGATGATTATTCTTGCCCATTCTTTGGAGCATACTATTCAAGTGCAAGAAGCTATGAAGTAGAAGTCATATCTATTTCTTCATTTTTATTCTCCAAAATCTACAGAGTTATAATAGTGACCCTATGTAGGTCCTTGGCTAAGGAAGAAATATTCTAACAAAAAGATACTTTTTTTCTTCTCTATATCAAATGCAGTAGGTTTAGCCTCCAGATCTTTAATGGACATTCATGTGGCCCACACCTCTAATTCCCACACAAGGTGAGTGGAGGCAAAGGGATCAGGGTTTCTGGGTCCTTCTTAGTGGCTTAGGAGGTTCAAGGCCAAAGAGGGCTATATGGAACCCTTTTTTGAAACAAAGTTGACATTCTAATGCATCTATACTCTATTTCTACAAAAGGCATTAAACCTAAAGTTTTAACAAGCCCTTCGGATCTCATATGGGTGTGGATATTTTATACTACAAATTCCCTGGTTCTCTTCTCCTTCAAAGTTTCTGTCAATGTTCAAACCCCATTTTGGCAACCCAGAGTCAAATATAAACTGTGTCTGTATCAGTCTTTTTTCTCCCAGCTTTCTGTAGATTAAAAGATGGTCACAGGAACTATGGGGATAAAATAAGACTTCGTATCCTTTTGACTAGAATATAAACAAGCCTATTTTTCATCTTTTGGATACATGGAAATTGAGTTGGAGAGATTGTAGGTCTAGTCATCCAGATACGGCAATACTGGTCTGGTAAGTGTTCACTAAGTTTGGATAAATTACTTAATGAAAGATTATGTCAATCTTTGAAAACAGACTGTTTTCTACTCAGTGCTTCTCATTCTGTGTCTGTAAATAGTTTTCTTTTTTTTATTTTCTGATAGTACACCCATTTCATAGAATAAATGATGTAATACAGAAGTTTAAACTTTGCCCAGGATCTGTGGTTTAGATGAACATAAGCAGGATTTACTTTGGCAGTGGAAACCTAGGATTCACACCTGTAAGTATTATACTTTGTTACTCAGCTGTCAATTAATATGAAAGCAATTTCAATAAGGAAGAGATTGCACTCCCAACAAAACAGAATATTTGCTTAAAAGCCTAACCAAATTATTTCCACAAAACTGAGCAGGTATTTTATTAAGTATTGCACACCTTACGTTTTCATGGGTCCCTTTGCTCTTCTGTGTAACAGAAGTTTTCCAGCCACCAGGTTAATATACACAATTTGAAGGGAGGAGATCTTGCATTCCTACCTTTCACCCTTGTGATGTGAGGAGAATGCTTAATTCTAGGAAGTAGCAGGAAAATAACCATTCTGACAGTAGTGGTGCATTTCCATGATTGGAAAATGGCCGCCAATTCTCAAAGGTCTCCTAACAGCTTAGCTAATCAGCCCAGCAAGGCGCCACAGGAGCGCTAATCCTGGGAGTAAGTGTGGCACAGAGAAGGTAAGGTCACGTCCAGCTGTGCCTGGCTTCTTTATAGCTAATCTGAAATGTGAATGCAGTTCTGAGGTCAGAGATTTGGGGTCATAGGCTGACTGATCTCCCTGATAGCTAAAGAACCTATGGATGACCTCCAGACTTGGAATCCTTAAAAATAATAAATAGGGTAATTAAATAATTGATAGATAAACATGCTTTGGAGGAAGACACATTTGTGCTATGTCTTTAAAAAATCATGCCACGGTTTTGTGATAAGGAACTGTCAAGTGGTATTTGCACTGTAGAAATACAGTACCCATATTTCATCTATGTACAGAGCCTTTAACAGGTATATACAGCTGTTTTAAATTTCACTCTTCTTTTAGAATAGGTATTCA